ACTACGAATAGGTGTGGAAGGTAGTATAGGCTCATACTACTGAAATCACAGGATCCATATGAGATTCAGGAGGAATTTTGAGGCTACTAAGGAGCTAATAGAAGGGTAGCCTGGTGTGTTAAGCACTGTGTTTGATGTCTGATATTTCCATGGTGTATTTTCAGTATGACAACTATTGAAGGTTCAAGATCTGGAGCTGGTGGCACTGGGGGATAAGGTATGAGTGAGGAAGAGGTATGTGGGATCATTGCTGCCGGTGTGGCCGAGGCGACCAGAGAGGCGATTCTGGAGTTGTTTGGGTTGGTTAAGACTGTGTTGATCAAGGAGTTTGACTGTCACTATGCCTCCACCACGTAGGTAGCTATTGCCGCAACTACAACAGTCGTCACCATTGCATGATCCTAGGGAGGCTGGGTGATGTAGTTAATGGGTTTTGAGCATTCTAACACTTCCTAAGTGTACATGCAACCCTAATAACCTTGGATCTATGTTTTTCTAATTATCATGCAAAGTTGAATTCCAAGGTTATATTCCTATCTAGCATACATGGGGAACAAATTTTAACTTGCATGAAAGATAGAATAACTTACCTTGTTGTTGCTTATGATCCTTGAAACCTTGTGAGCCTAGCACCCCAAGTGTGATGCCTCAAATGCTTCACACAACACCAAATGCTTTTGGAATGACTTTAGAGAGAATACACACTTATAAAATCGGCCTAGCCCTCTTGTTTCTTATGTGTAGCCGATTTTGGTGGAGAATGGGTTTCTTATATAGTGTTGACACATCTAGGGTTACACCATGTAAACCCTAATGTGTCATGACTCTTCATTTCCATGACCCATGGGTTTGTAACTCCCATGGAGCATCCATGGAACATCCTATGGGTGGAACTCAACTTGATAATCCATGGAGCCTCTTAGCCCACTATATAAGATATGGAAGATTTACATAATCTACCCATATATTTAATTAGTTATCTTTTGATCACTTAATTAATTCTAAATTAATTCTTGATAAAACTAATTAAATAATATTATTAATATATTAGAACTTATAATATATTAACAAACCATAAGTGTTATTTCTCTCATTTTAGTTTATCCAATTGCATGGTGCCATGCAACCCAAATGGACCATGCCGGGTCGGGTCAAGTACATACCAGAAATAGTTATGGACTTAGACACCTTATCCAACAGTAGTACTAAGAGTTCAGTTATACGATGCCTCCAGAGTTCAGAGGCGATAGGGACCCGATCATTGCTTCGAGATGGATTTACGAAGTGGAGGGATGTTTCTTCACTTGGTCATGTCCCAAGGGCAAGAAGGTGAAGTTTGCGCTGAATCTTCTTTGCTGGATTGAGAAGGATTGGTGGGAGTTTGTGACCCAGGGCTTTTCGCAGGCCGAGCGAGCCGAAATGACTTGGGATAAGTTTATGGATATGTTTCAAGCGAAGAATGTTCCTTTGGTGGACCGGGAGCGACTAGCACAGGAGTACCTGTCACTCAAGAAGAAGACTGAGTCGGTGACGGAGATCACCAAGATGTTCACGGAGAGAGCTCTTTTCTTTCCTGAGTATGCCGTTTCAGAGCAGGCACATATGTCGCGATACTTGAGTATGTCAAGACGGAGATTAGAGAGTTTGTAGCTACTCAACAATACCAGACCTTGACCGAGATGCAGTCTAGTGCCAGGTGGAGGGATATTGAGTTGGAGATTCAGCAGAAGGAGGAGGGAACGACTTCAGGAGGATATCAGTCGGTGACCAAGCGGGTCAAGTCTGCTGACCTGGGTTTATGATCAGATGAGGGGAGGAGTTCTGAGTGTGGCATGTGTGGGATGTTTCACGATGGGAGGTGCCAATAGTTTGTATGCCGCAGGTGTGGCAAGGAGGGTCATTTTGGTAGGGATTACAGGCGGAGTTCGTGGGGTTGTTTCCATTACGGCCAGGAGGTCCACATCAGAGATCGTTATCCCTTTATCGTTTTTGGTGAGGTGTTGGACCCTGCAACCCTAGCTTGGCTATTACCTGACGGTCGTCAAGGGACGGCCAGAGTCCCGGAGATTGAGGTTTGAGTTATCAATACTTCTATTTAGCAATTGCTGCAATATTGGTATACATCTGTAATTCATGTTTAAGTTTCAAAGTTCAGTTGTAATCTTGGATGATATTATCTTATTTAGCTCTGTTTAAATTGATTTCTTGTTATGAATGGATTAATTATCATTGTCCTTGGAATACACGCATGTTGGAAATTTATGAATGTTGTGTGGGTTCAAATTCTCCTATGTATCAGGATACCAGTGGTTGGGATCAGTTGGTAGTGTTCAAGTTAGTTTGAGTATCGAAGGATTGTGAAGTTGTTATATTCTAACATATCTCAAGCGGGGAAGAGTGGAATCTCGCAACAGGAAGACCTTGTGCCAAGGTTCGGTTGTCATTCAGATTTCTCCGAGTTCAAGACCTCCGCGCAACTGTTGAATCTTCTGATTTCACATCAAGATCATCGTCAATTTTGGATTTCCCTTAGAGTCGTATTAGTTTTATTTGTGATAACATATGTAGGGCATGCTTGTGCTTTAGACTCTAGGTTATTAGGAGTCCAAGTTAAGGGATGTGATGAGGGCTTCCTTGTCTATTTGTTGTGACCCGATTATGATGACAAATGCGGAAGTGTAATGATCAAGTGAATCAATTCATATCAAGAACACAAGAAGTAAATACAACGGTTTAAGCTCTCATTAGTCTAACAAGTAATTACAAAGTGGGTCTTGCAATCTTTCTCTCACTAAACTAATCTCTCATATGGGTTCTTACATAAATGGGAGCTACTCACTTCCTATTTATAGGAAAATCTCAACCCATTACACAATCTAAGAGGGTAAGCCTGCATCACATCCAAGGAGAACTTTTCACCCTAACATTCTCCCCCTCGAAGTTAGGATTGGATGTCCCGACTTCAATAACCAAACGAGCACCAAGGATCAAGACCAACTCCCCCTCGAACTAACACCATCTTCAAATCTACTTTGAAAAAGAATATCCAAAAAGCTTCGAATACCCATTTCAATTTTCTCCCCTTTTTATAATCAACAAATGATTATAAAACGCCAAAAGGGTATGAGAAACACTCGCAGAATAAACCATACGAAACTCCCCCTCGATGTGTGACAAAAATGAAACTCTTCAATCTGAGAAAATCCAAAAATATGCCAATTTCTTCAAATCTTTGACTTCCCGGACTTGAAAATGAAAACACATTATTCATAAACCACGAAAATCCTTGCACTAAAAACAATCACGAAAAGCCGAGAGAAAAATCTTCAAATGTTGAGAAGATTTCGACTTTTGGGTGAGAGTTGAAAGAATTTCGAAAATTAGGTACAAACTGTTGGAACTTTGTTAAATGAAAACTTTCTCTATGGGACTTGTCCCACATTGGAAGAAAGAGGAAACTTATACTCCCTTAAAAAGCCTCCTACTAGTTGTTTACCAATTAGATCAAAGGCTTGGACTAAAGGGATTGGGTTGGATTTGGTGATTGGGCTAGTCAAATTGGTCTTGAAAGACTTAGATTAATATATATATATATATATATATATATATATATATATATATATATATATATATATATATATATATATATATAGGGAGGGGTTCAATAGAGAACCAATATGAGTGAAGGAACCAAGGAACCTATTAAGATGGTTGGATCAAAAAATTAACAGTCATTGGATTTGAGATGTAAAAGTATGAAAAACAATAGTGTCCAGCTAATTATAACCAAACACGTAGCTTAAGGGGGCATTTTCGTCAACCTAAAACTTATTAACTCTAACTGTTAATTAACGACGTTAGTTCATCAGTTTCACATATCAGTGAAATCGATTTTACCCTCTCATTGAAAGCGATCTTTTACTTCACCGACGAACATCGATTTCTAACGAATCTCCGGCGACGATTCAGCCAATATCCACAGTGAATCTTCCCGAAAAGTTCGTCAAAATGAATCTAAAAGGTATATTTGACTGCTATTCATTTCCGATTATCTCATTTAATGCATTTTCAACATTATCTTTTTTCGATTGATAAATTTCAAAATGACAAATCTAAACTATCTGTTACATTATGTATTCGATGAATCTGTGAATACACTATTTTATTAACAAAATCGTTTTAGACTGATTTGAAACCCTCGGATGATGAACTTTTAATAATTTGTATACATAACGAAAACCTAATGATTTAAATTTTTTGAAATCGATACAGAAATCATGAATATCTATATTACAAACTGAAATTTCCTAAAACTTTGTGAATCTAACTCGAATCTGAGTTTATTAAGTAAATCGAAACCCTAATTTCATGAATTTTTGAGAATTTGTATAATTACCAAAAACCTAATGATATAAATTTCTTCAAATCGATACAGAAATCATGAATATCTAAATTACAAACCGTAATTTCCTAAAAACTTTGTGAATCTAAGTGGTTTCTGAGTTTATTCATTAAACTGAAAAACTAATTTCACATTTTGAATTCACCGTGTGCTTTGTGATTTACATTTGATTATTTTGAAAGGATTCAATGTTTCTGAGTATTACATTATTTGACAATTCACAAAGTGAATCATGATTATATATCAATTTAACATATCATTTATTCAAATTATGAATTCAGAGGGTGATTTATCATTTACATTTGATTTTTTCAACTTGTGAAATTTTATGATGCATCTATGTTTAATTGATATTGTATCTCTTAATGTGTTTCTCATTGTAAATTTATAAAGAGTTGCATTGATAATGTTTTGATTCAAACTGAATTCACAATGTGAATAAATATTATGTTAAATTCATTTGTAATCCTGATTCACATTGTGAAAAATATGAATAAATCATAACTTTCATACCATGAAATTGATGTTTGAACTAATTTGTTAATCAAAAACAGGAAATGAAGAAAAGAACAATGAAAAAAAGGATAATAAGAAAAGAATGAAATTGACAAGAAATCTAAAAGATGTTCTACCTTCAACTACAAGTGAAAAAATTGAAGATATTCAAGATAAAAATAAAGGTTAGAACATTCGCATTCAGATTAAAATAACTAGTTATCTAATCATATACTACACACTTATTAAAAAAATTTTTTTTTTTTGCAAGTTGATCAACACTTTTGTTTGTATTCACTTTGAACAAAATAGTTGTAAAAATTCTCAATATGTGTATGTGTACATCACTTGGTGAACCTCAAACTCTTTTGTTGTTAAATGCATAAATTCACAATGTGAATCTTGGATGCATGTCTCACATTCACATAGATTCACAATGTGAATCTCTTAAATTTTTTTTTGTAAGTTGATCAACACTTTTGTTTGTATTCACTATGAACAAAATAGTTGTAAAAATTCACCATGTGTATGTGTACATGACTTGGTGAACCTTAAACTGTTTTGCTGTTAAATGCATAAATTCACAATGTGAATCTTGGATGTATGTCTCACATTCACATAGATTCACAATGTGAATCTCTTAAAAAAATATTTTTTTTTGCAAGTTGATCAACACCTTTCTTTGTATTCACTATGAACAAAATAGTTGTAAAAATTCATCATGTGTATGTGTACATCACTTGCTGAACCTCAAACTCTTTTGCTGTTAAAAGCATAAATTCACAATGTGAATCTTGGATCCATGTCTCACATTCACACAGATTCACAATGTGAATCTCTTTAATTTTTTTTTGCAAGTTGATCAACGCTTTTGTTTGTATTCACTATGAACAAAATAGTTGTAAAAATTCTCAATATGTGTATCTGTACATCACTTGGTGAACCTCAAACTCTTTTGCTGTTAAATGCATAAATTCACAATGTGAATCTTGGATGTATGTCTCACATTCACATAGATTCACAATGTGAATCTCTTAAATTTTTTTTTTTTTTTTGCAAGTTGATCAACACTTTTGTTTGTATTCACTATGAACAAAAGACTTGTAAAAATTCACCATGTGTATGTGTACATCACTTGGTGAACCTCAAACTCTTTTGCTGTTTAATGCATAAATTCACAATGTGAATCTTGGATCCATGTCTCACATTCACACAGATTCACAATGTGAATCTTGGATCCATGTCTCACATTCACACAGATTCACAATGTGAATCTCTTTAAATTGTTTTTTTTTTGCAAGTTGATCAACGCTTTTGTTTGTATTCACTATAAACAAAATAATTGTAAAAATTCTCAATATGTGTATGTGTACATCACTTGGTGAACCTCAAACTCTTTTGATGTTAAATGCATAAATTCACAATGTGAATCTTGGATGTATGTCTCACATTCACATAGATTCACAATGTGAATCTCTTAATTTTTTTTTTTGCAAGTTGATCAACACTTTTGTTTGTATTCACTATGAACAAAATAGTTGTAAAAATTCACCATGTGTATGTGTACATCACTTGGTGAACCTCAAACTCTTTTGATGTTTAATGCATAAATTCACAATGTGAATCTTGGATGTATGTCTCACATTCACACAGATTCACAATGTGAATATCTTAAATTTTTTTTTTTTTGCAAGTTGATCAACGCTTTTGTTTGTATTCACTATGAACAAAATAGTTGTAAAAATTCTCAATATGTATGTGTACATCACTTGGTGAATCTCAAACTCTTTTGATGTTAAATGCATAAATTCACAATATGAATCTTGGATCTATGTCTCACATTCACACAGATTCACAATGTGAATCTCTTATTTATTTTTATTTATTATTATTTTTTTTGCAATTTGATCAACACTTTTGTTTGTATTCACTATGCACAAAATAGTTGTAAAAATTCTCAATATGTGTATGTGTACATCACTTGGTGAACCTCAAACTCTTTTGCTGTTAAATGCATAATTTCACAATGTGAATCTTGGATGTATGTCTCACATTCACACAGATTCACAATGTGAATCTCTTAAAAAAAAGTTTTTTTTTGCAAGTTGATCAACACTTTTGTTTGTATTCACTATGAACAAAATAGTTGTAAAAATTCACCATGTGTATGTGTACATCACTTGGTGAACCTCAAACTGTTTTGCTGTTAAATGCATAAATTCACAATGTGAATTTCTAAAAAGTTTTTGCAATTTGATCATCACATGTTCAATTTTATATTGTTTAACATGTATTTCGTAATACTACTTATATTTTTGACATTGATATTAAAAATTTCACATTGTGTAGTTGAAGGTTCAAAAAAATATACCAAAAACACAGCAAGGAGAACCGTGGTGGAAATAGTTAATAAATTAAGAAAAAATGAAGATGAAAAGACTATTGATGAAAATGTTGAAAAAGAAAAAAGTTTAGAAGGTGATGAGATTCAAAAAAAGAAAACAAAAAAATTGATGAAGCAAGATGAATATGTTTTGAAGACACTTGAAAAGAAAACAACACAAAGTTAGTATTTATAAAATTATAATTTACTTTAATATATAAAATCAGTTATCTTTAATTTTTTTTTAAATGAACAGAAATCATACGGAGTCCAAGATTACAAAAAACAAAAAAGAAAAAGTCGATGAAGCAAGACAAATCTGTTTTCAAGACACCTGAAAAGAAAACAACTCAAGGTTAGTTTTGTTAAAACATGAACAGAAATCAGACAGAGTCCAAGACTTAAAATGATTGAATACAAAAAATCTGTGACTCCTATTAAAGTTGATGATAGCCTTGTAAAGAAAGAATCTGATGAAAAAGTAACATGTTTGTTTATTACTATTCACATGTTTAATTTACAAAGTTATAAACAAATTCACATGTTTATTTTATGTATTATATTATATTTTGCAAAACAAATTCACATGTGAATTTCTTGTATTGTTAGTTATTTTATAGTATATATGTTATATTATGAGAAGCTTATGAAAATTATTGACTAACAGGAAAAAGAAAAAGAAAAACAAAGACTTTTGAAGTAGTCAAAGAAAAAAAGGAAAAAGTGCCAATAAATTCAAATGACAGAGTATCTTTGAGAACAAGAATGAGCCCAAAGAAGTTTTATGATATTGTTAAATCTTTAAACAAAGAACAGAAAAAAGCTGTTAGAGAAATGGGATTGGGATCTTTGCTGAGAATTGCAACCAATGGAATTTCTGGGAAATTGGCACGTTTTGTTGTGAATTCATTCAATCCATCAGATATGAAAATCCATCTACCTAATGCGAAGATAGACATAACACTAGAACTTGTTCATGATTTGCTTGGAATTCCTCTAGGTGGAAAAGATATATATAACACTAATCAATGTGAAGGAAAAGAATTAATAAATTGGAAGCAACAGTACAATTTCAAGGCTATGAGACCATCAGATGTTGAAGAGAGAATTAAAGAATCATTAGATTCAAAGGATTATTTTCAGAACAAACTTTTTATTACTGTTTGTTAATACCATCTGTGAACATAATAAGCCTGGAACTTGTAAGACAACAGTATTGCTATATTTGTTAGGCAAAACAGATATGAGAGAAATTGACTGGTGTGGTTTTATAACCAATTGCTTGAAAATGTCAAAGATGACGTGGGATGAAACCGATAGAGGAAACTACTATTGTGGGCCACTTCTTGTATTATTGGTAAGGAAAATTCTTATAATTAACACTTTTATTTATATTATTATAAGAAAACTAATTAATCATAATTTTGTTTACATAAACAGTTAGCTTATTTGGAGTTTATGAGGAATGATAAGAATGAAAAAAGACAAATACATGCACTACATTTTTTGGATTATGAAATGATGGTGAAAAGGGAAAAAGCTGAGTTAAAGAGTGGTGACTTTGGAACTTTGGAATGGAATGATGATGTTATAGAGAATGATGAAGAATCCGACACCGATCAAAATGAAGATATGAAACTCGATGTAAGTTAATAATCTATACATTTTAAAACAAATTGAAGTTATATTACAGATATATGTTATAAAATTGTAGTTAAGATGAAATTCATAAAGTGGTTCACATTGTAAATATAAAAGTGTATTTTATTACTTTCTCTATAATAAATTCACAAAGTGAATATGTAATTTATTAAAATGCATTAAAAATGTGATACCTCATCAATGCATTCATATTCTGGAACTGTAATTTATTATAGAAGAAAGCTAAAAAAAATTCATTTTTATTGACATTTTTTTTATCTCATTTCGCAGGAATTGGTGTTCAAAGCGAAAAAGAATTACAAAAAACTAGTGAATGATAAACTGAAGTTTGGAAAGTTAATTGAGTTTTTAACAACAAAATTCACAGAAAGCGATGAGTTGAAAGATATGAAGAAAGTCTTTGAACAAGAATTCATTTATAAAACTCAAAATTAAGATGAAGAAAAAAGCGATGAGAATTTGAATGAACATGAAATAAAGAATCAACCAATCATGGTAACACCAGGAAATTTGTACAATGATCCAATAGTGCATGAGATTGCTGATTCTATTCAATGTATTTTAAATTTTGATGATTATGATGATTTTGAAAATGTAAAAAGTTTTAGAGAACAAAAAAAATAAAAAAACAATAATAGATGATAAAAAAAATAAACAAAATACTAGAAAATCATCAATGCCTAGTTTTTCACTTGGACTTGGTCTTGGTCTAACACAAGAGTTTCAGGAAGGAGATGAAAGCAGTGAAGATGAACACATGAAGAAAGAAATAAAAAATGAAAAACTTGATGAAGGAGAAAGTTATGATTTAGAAGAAACAGAATGTGACAATAATATCTTGGGAATTGAAGATGATGAAGACAAAAAAAGAGAAGTAGGAAAAAGATTAATTAAAACCATCATTGAAGCTATCTTCTCCTTATAATAAAAAAGAGGTTTGTGCATCAAAATTTGTAGATCCAGATGAAGTAAAAGTATCAGATAGAATTTTTTCCAGAATTGGTAATAGCAGGTAATAATTCATGTTATCTTTTATTTAAATACAATAGTATATAAATACAAATACAAATTAATTTTCTATTAACTGCTTTTTTGTTTTATTTGATTACAAATTAAGTGAGAAGGTATTTCAGACTAAGAGAGGTTATGTGCTTGGAAGAGGAATGATTGAAACAATGCAGGCAGGATTATGGGTACATGCACATGTCATTGATGCTTGGACTGATATTTTGAACTATGAAGAAAAGCTTAAATCAAATTCTACAGTGAATCGGTATTTCTTTGATACATCAATGGTGGTAAGTTAATGTTGATAATATAATAAATAAAATTTTCAATAGTTCTGAATAAGTAACAAAATAGTTGTAAAAATTCACCATGTGTATGTGTACATCACTTGGTGAACCTCAAACTCTTTTGCTGTTAAATGCATAAATTCACAATGTGAATCTTGGATCCATGTCTCACATTCACACAGATTCACAATGTGAATCTCTTAATTTTTTTTTTGCAAGTTGATCAACACTTTTGTTTGTATTCACTATGAACAAAATAGTTGTAAAAATTCTCAATATGTGTATGTGTACATCACTTGGTGAACCTCAAACTCTTTTGTTGTTAAATGCATAAATTCACAATATGAATCTTGGATCTATGTCTCACAATCACACAGATTCACAATGTGAATCTCTTAAATTTATTTTTTATTATTATTTGTTTTTGCAAGTTGATCAACACTTTTGTTTGTATTCACTATGAACAAAATAGTTGTAAAAATTCTCAATATGTGTATGTGTACATCACTTGGTGAACCTCAAACTCTTTTGCTGTTAAATGCATAAATTCACAATGTGAATCTTGGATGTATGTATCACATTCACACAGATTCACAATGTGAATCTCTTATTTTTTTTTTTTGCAGAAAATAAAATTCACACAGTGAATCCCATTATAATTCACAGTGTGAATAATTTTAAATTTTAAATTTACCTTATTGTGAATTTAACAATTTACTCTTTAAAATTTAATGTATATTTAATTTTTTTTGCAGAGACAGTTCATATTTGACAAAAATATCCCTTTCAATGAAAGATTTGATAAATTTGAGTCAAATATCAAAGATGCAATGAAAAAGGACAAAAAACTTCTGACATTTGAAAAAGTTCACTTGGTAATAAACTGTTTTTTTGTTGAATATATTACATATTTTAAACAAAGTTTAACAATTAAAATTATTAAACAGGTGTTTTTCCTAGTTCATCAAAAAAATCACTTTTACATCATCTGCATAAACTTAGACGAACCAGCGGTTGATGTCATTGACAATAGGAATTCAGTTGCAAAGATTCCTAGAGCTTATCGTGATGCACCTAATGAATTGGTAAGAATAATAAATTTACATTATAAATATAACTATTAATATACTAATAATCTAAATAAAATAATAATTATAGAAAATGAGAATTTTTTTTTTTGCAGAAAATACTTTTTAGTAGGTACTTGATGAGGGTCAATCACAAATCAGCTTCAACTTTGGAGGGTGTTGAACCAGAAAGGGTGAACATGAATTGGCGCACAAGGGATAATCATGTTGAATGTGGAGTTTTTTGCATGCATCATATGGAGACATATATGGGAGATAAAACAGTAAATTGGACATGTGGGTTGCCAAAAGAATCAAAACAACAACAAAGTGTGTTAAACGAGTTACGCATTAAGTATTTGACAAAGATACTATTGAGTGACACAAACACATACAAGTTAAAAATCATTGCACGAACAGCTAAGTTTGCAAAAAAGACTAATGAAGAAATAAAAGATTTGCTCGACAAGGGATGGGAAAAAAGGGGAGAAAGGATATAGTACTTCAAGGATTGGAAAAAGAAGTGTAAAACTTAAAACTTAGTTTGCTATTCATAATTAGTATAAGTTTAGATGCACTTTAATTTCTTTAAGAACATATACATGCTTGTTATGTTACAATTTGATGTTAGTTTCTATATCAAATATAATGAACTTTACTAAATACTTAAAAGATGTTTATATTTTCATGTGAATGTCTACATGTATGTTATACAATTACATGTTTTATTAAAAATATGAAAATTTACATTGTTTATATGTTAACCTTGTGAAAATTTAATATGTCAGATTCACAATGTGAATTACAGTACATATTATAACATGTATATTTTATATGTGAGGTTAACAATGTGAATTATGGTACATATAGATCATTAGAACAATTAATTGTTGAGATTCACATTGTGAATTAAATTACATTAAGACAATCTTTAACATGAAAATTTTATATATGAGATTAACAGTAATATACATAAATTAAATCATTAGCATGAAATTTTTATTAGAAAATATTCAAAAAACTAACAAAAAAAAATATCTTTAACCAAAAACACTAAATTTGAAAAAAATATATTCTATTATTAGAAATAAAGTCTAAAACAATGAATATCAAAATTAACAACAATATTTCAACATTTCTAACCATTGAATGATCACTACAAAAATCAAATCTTATTTTAGTAGTCTTAAAAAGAAAAAATTAGAAACAATCAGCCTTCTGTAACCTCAGATTCTAAATCAGACTTCTTTAACCTCAAAATGCAACTCCTAGCATTGTGATTTGGTTTATGACATAAACTGCACAACCTAGAACCCTTTTTAGATTTCTCAATCACTTTCTCTCTAGTGCTCTTGATTCTTTTACCACTGGCCCATCCCTTGTTTCTGATCCCCTCTGGATTATGAATGTTGATAACATCAGGTACTGCAGCTCCAATAATTTTTTCAATGTGAACTGATCTATTCGAAGATGCCCTTGATGAGGTACATAAAGGAATACCACTATCAACCTCCTAAAGTTGCTTTATATATTTAGCCAACTCATCCTCATTATTTGCTATCTTGTTAATGGACAAACGAAGAATAGCATATGCATCTTGAATCAAACATTCATTTTTACTGCCTTTATGAGGATATGAGTACTTTTTTCTCAACAATCCATCAGCTATGATATCTTTTCCCCATCTCCTCAAAATGAAATTTGATGGAATTTCATCATACTCTTTCATATTTAATATGAAAAACATATGACGACATAACAATCCTTCCTGGACAAAAAGCATGCAGCTACAACTGATGCTAATGCTATCACCCCTTCTACTAAATACAACCTACAAAAATTATCATTAATAAACAAATTAGTATGTGAATAAGAAATTCTATCTCATACCATTCGATAAAAATTATACATATTAACATCGATTCACATTATTAATCAACAGGACATTAGAAATCATAATACTATAATATAAATATGTACTTCAAATCAAATTCACAAAAAAAAAATACATATTCCATACTAATCTAAAAATTTATAACTCTATAAAAATTCACACTGTGAATTAGCAAAACATCCTACATTCACAGTGTGAATTTTTAAACTACATTTTATATTTAATAAAATGTATTAGGACAAATAGACATACCTTGTAACGAGTATTAGGACAATGAGAAGGAAGACTATTTTGATAAAAATCATCAGAATCTTCATCCTCATTCACATTTTTATCAATCAACTTTTTTTTCTTCTTATCTCTCAAAACATAAACTTCGCTTTCATCTTCAATAACTACAGATTCTTGAACACAATAAAACACAGATTTGTATAACTCTTTATGAATGTCCAAGAAAATATTATGTGTATAAATTTTCGATCCATGCTTTTCAATAGCCAAAGAAGTCCTTAGCTTGGGGGTAGTAGTTGTGGACTGATAATCTAATAAAGATTGATGGTGCCTTTGCTTCTCCATTGCACTATCAAACGACATCATGAACTTCACCAAATTTGATTTATGATGCAAAAAATGTGAGAAAGCATAATTCAGACTCTCTGATCTTGAAGTAGTTCGCATCAAACCAGAAAGTTCAAGATCTCTCATAAAAGCCGGAATCCATAAATCCCTTATTTTAAAAACAGACCTTAACCAGTCATTTTCTTTTAGATGAAACTTATCTAACATTGTTGACCACGAACTTTCAAAATCTTGTGGAGAACATTGAAGATTCCATATAATATCAAAAAATGTCTTCTGGAAGTCCGGATGGTTATAAACATCAATAGGAATCTAAAAAAAAGAAACACATAAGAATCATTACATATGTTGAATATTTGATGTAATTCATAGTAACATAACATTTGTTTAACATTATGAATTCACAGTGTGATTTATGATTTAGATTTGTTCCTTTCATTATATGCAAATTTACATTGTGAATTCACAATGTGCTTTATGATCTATATGGTTATAAACATATATAGGAATCAAGAAACAAAGAATATACCTTTTCCTCAAGTTTTTGAGTGATGTGCCACATGCATAGTCTATGCTTCGATTCAGGAAAAACAAAATTAACAACTTTCTTCATTGATGAATCCTGATCTGTTACAATCATCATGGGTGGCTTGACAAATGCTTTACGAAACACTTCAAGCAACCACACATATGCATCTGCTGTCTTACGAGCTAGTAAACCAGCAGCAAAAGTAACACAACACTTGTGGTAGTCAACTCCAGTAAAAAGAACAAATACCATAGAATACCTGAATTTTTTTTGATAAGTATTATTAAAAAGAACAAATACCATAAAAAGAACAAATAAGGATTAGGAATTACTTGTTTGTCTGATAAGTAGCATCAAAAGATACTACATCTCCAAATTCCTTATAGTTAGCTTTCGAAGTATCATCAGCCCAAAAAAGTCCAGTAAGATGATCATCAACATCTTTTTGGACCTCAAATGAAAAATTAGAGAAACACAATTTTCTGTTTGTCAATATATCCACAACCATTTGGGAATCTTTGACACCAATTTTAGAATTCAAATCTCTATGAAAATTTTTAAAGTCAACTGCAGTACCTCCACTAGAATCAAAGCCACCCTTCATACTACTCACCAAGTTATAAGCTTTTGAAGCACCAATGTTACAAGTACCAACCTTATGTATAAAGGATTCATCAAGAAAATCCATTGTCCTATTAATCCTTAATAAGTGCAACTGATCTTGAGCAACAAGTTCATGGTTGTGATCTTCAACAAACACATAAATGTAGAACATTAAAGAACATCGGAGATTCTTGAACTTTGAAACAACAGGGCATCCGTTCTTCTTAGAAGAAGTTCTCCTTCCCTTAACATCTGAAAATTTCACATTAATATTTTCATTCTTGAATGACTCCGTGAAACCAGATCTACTACATGTCGAATATCTAATACGAATTGTGCCATTATTGTATCTCTTTTGACTTGACATATTCACATCAAAACCAGATTCTTTACCATAAGTCTTGTAAAAGTCAAGACCAATGTCCAACGAATCAAACATCAATCCTTTGAAAGGCTTCTTATGTATCAACTTATCATAAGGAACAAGCTTAAAAGTTTCAGTATTGTAGAGCTCAAAATCAAAACTATAACAAGAATTACTGTTATTTGAATGATCAATATTCATACTTGAAGATGATTGATCATGAACTGCAAAACCAAACAAAACATCTATTTTATTACATTATATATAAAATGTGAAATTTATATTAAGAAAAAAAAACTTACGTGATTGTTCATTAATAGTTGAATGCAAATCTGAACAAGAATTCACAGAACTCATAATGAATCGTCGATGACTTGGAGTTTATATGCAGATTAGAAATTTAGAATTGATAATTATACAAAAAAGGAAACAAATAAACAAGATAATCACAAAAATTTTAAATATATGCACAAGATAAGATAAGATTCTCAAAATCACTAAAAGTTTGGAAAAAACTTAAATGTAAGAAGATGCACAAGATATAATTGATTATCTAAATGTCGAATATGCATTACAGACGAATGATTACAAAAACGATCGAATGAAAAACAGTATACTCAACATACGACATAAAATTAGCAAATTAACAAAAAAACATAACAATTTGAAAATTAAACGGTAAAATCAAGAGAATTTTACAATCAGACGATTACAATAACAATGCATCGGAAGAAAAAACGGTAAAATCAAAGTCCATAATTAACCTAATAATCATAAACGAAAGATAATACCTGATTATTAGCTGAAATCTGAAGAAAGTATTAGTAAATTGGATGAAAAAGGTTGAGATTTCGAACAACAAGCGAGATTTTGGATCGATCAGTCTAGTGTTAGAAGATGAAGGACAGTAACAGAAGACGCTGAAACCAGAAGACGCTAACGGAGACAAACACGATGTTAAATGAGACGCTGAACTTACCAAAATGCCCCTCCGTGTTTTTTTTGGTTAATTATGGATTAATGGCCAAGATTAAAACAAAATAGATGGTTAAGATGGGTTCCTTGGTTCTTTGATTCATATTGGTTCTCTATTGAACTTTTCCCTATATATATATATATATATATATATATATATATATATATATATATTAATCCGATTTTGACTTTTATTTTTATATTAAACAAATCTGTTAAATTCGTTTTAACTGTCTTGACAGTTATTTTCGGTTTGTAGTTTTTGGAGGGAAAAATAGTCAATGTATATCTATAAATAGATCACCAAAGACCAGATTTCGGGTTCAGAAAAACCACACACATGTTCCTCATATAATTTCGTATTCCACAAACAACGAAGGGAACATCGTGAATTTCGTTAGAATCAAGAGAAGATTTTGGTTGATTGTTGTATCCTCTTGACAGATCCCTACCAGGGAAATTTCTGTCTTAGGACACTGCAAAGCAGGCCTCAATCTGTACTATTTCGTGATTATATTTTCTGTGTAGTCATCATACACGTATGTTTTCTGTAAAC